CCCCAAAACCCCAAAACCCCAAAACCCCAAAACCCCAAAACCCCAAAACCCCTCAAAGTATCCAAAAAATTGAAATAAAAATCATTCAGAATGGAAGCTGTGAAGAAGACCTTTAAGATGGCCCTCATCCAGATGGAGGTTCAAAGGAGCAAGGCTACAAATGTACTAAGAGCGAAGGAACTGATCCAGCAAGCTGCTGAATCAGGTGCTAATGTTGTGGTCCTCCCTGAGATGTTCATTTGTAATTATGATAGACAATCCTTTGAGGAAAATGCAGAGCCTATCCTTAACTTTAAGGAAGATGAAAAGGCTACAGCTGCTAGAATGCTGAGTGATGCTGCCAAAGAACATGAGATCTACATCATTGGTGGATCCATCCCTGAGCTTAGAGAAGATGGATGGGTATATAACACATCTGCATGCTTTGATAAATCTGGAGATCTTGCAGCTAAATATAGTAAAGTTCACCTCTTTGATATTGATATTCCTGGAAGAGCCACTTTTAAGGAAAGTGAGTTCCTCAGACCAGGTACAGAATTCACCTTGTTTGAGACAGAGTACTGTAAGTTCGGTGTTGGTATCTGCTACGATGTTAGATTCCCAGATTTCTCACAAGTCTTATGTAGAGACTTTGGTGCTGATTTTCTGGTCTTTCCCGCTGCATTTACTAAGCCAACTGGCGAACTTCATTGGGATATCTTAAGAAAAGGAAGAGCATTGGACAATCAGGCTTACTTTGCTTTTTGTTCTCCAGCTAGACCGGAAGATGAAACTAGGTATCAAGCTTATGGCTACTCCTCATTCATTGATCCATGGGGTAAACTTCAAGCAGAATGTGAGACAGCAGAGGACATAGTTTACCAAGATATTGACTTAAGCATAGTTGATCAATGAAGAGCCCAGATCCCATGATATTCTCAAAGAAGAGCAGATCTCTACAAGCTCACTTGTTTGAAGGATGCTCCTGACTCCAGTACTACATAATGCATTTCATTCAACATGTCAGAAATTTCCAGGGGTTTTGGGGTTTTGGGGTTTTGGGGTTTTGGGG